TGGCATGTCCTCGAGGCCCCTCACTATCCTGGTTGCATTTCTTTGGATGTTTAACTATCAGTTTTCTTCTAAAGGGCAGTGCTCACAGTTGAATGCAAGAGTCTTGATGTGGTCCTGCCACAGTAGAGCACAGAGAGGTGCGACTCATCACCAGCTTCTTCCTGGAGCCCAAGATGTAGTTAGCTTTTGGCTGCTAGGTCACAGTGATACTAGATACTGAGCTTGCAATCCATTGAAACCTCCACATCTTTTTCAGATAAACTGTTCCAACCAAAAATGATTTGTGCACCTAATGTAAAGTTGCATTTCTCCCTATATAGTTTCATCTTATTAGCTGCCACCCAGCCTGTCATGATCCCTTCACTTCCTGGCTCTGTCATCCATTCTTGTTGGGGTGGGGGTGGGCAGTAACCTGGAGAGAACACTGGAGGCAGAAGGACCTGGTTCAAATGCAGCTTCACACACTTGCTACTGTGTGACCTGGCAGGTCACTTCAACTCTATCTGCCTCAGTTTCCTCATCTATAAATATGCATAAGAGCACCTACTTCCCAAGGTTCTTGTGAGGACAAATTGAGATAATCTTTGTAGAGTACTTAGCACAGTGCCTAACACATAGTGACACTATAAAACGCACATTCCCTTCTCCTTTCCCTCCCAACTTGGGTCAGCTGCATATTTGAATAAACGTTTCACTGTGCCTTCATCCAAGTCAATGATTTAAAAAAAACCACTTAGCAGAACAGGCCCAAGCACAGATCCTTCTGGCACTCCAGGAGACCTCTTTCCAAGTTGATATTAGCAAAGTATAAATGATTAACTCTTCGGATCTGGTCATTCTAGTGATTTGAGACTCCTGCACTTAATACTTACAATAGTTAGCATTTTTGTGCTTACTATGTTTCAGGCCTTTCACTAAGTGCTTTACAATTATCTTCTCATTTGATCCTCAGAATAACCCTTGGAGGTGGGTACTATTATTATCCCCATTTTACAGGTGAAGACACTGAGGCAAACTGAGATTAAGTGACTTGCCAAGAGTCACATAGCTAGTAAGGCTCTGAACTCCAGACCTAGCACTCTGTGCACTGTGGAGCCCCTAGTGGCCTCAATCAAGCTGCCATCTAGCTCACAATTCTCTCTTTTCCACAACATCATCAGATATATTATCAAACACCTGGGTGAGACCCAGATAAATGCTATCTATTGAATCCCTTCATCTGTGCTAGTTTTGCGCACCTGCCCTAACGGAAGATAAGGTTATTTTGACAAGACCTGTCCTTGCTGCAGCTCTGCTGGCACTCTGTGACCACCATTTCTTCCTTTGGACATGGTTCCCTTTCCTGGGGTGACAAGAAAGGCTTCTAGCCAAAGGAATTCTGGAGCCTCAGGACAAAGGATGTGGTAGAGTGAGAGGTCTCTGGGTTCTGCTCAAGGCTCAGAATAGAGAATGTTAGAGCTGGGAGGAGAAATGATAGAGATTGCAGAGATTTTAGAACAGGGAATCTGAGAAAGGGTACATTAGAATAGGAAATGACAGAGCTGGGAGGGACTTTAGAACAGAGTGTGTGAGGGACAAGACAGGCCTTAGAGCATAGCATGCCAGAACTAGGAGGGAGTGTCAAGATAGTAGAGTTATAGACCAGGGACCAGCAGAACTCTCCCAACATTTCCTGCCAAACAACTTTAAAATATTGCTTCAAATCAAATTTTGGAGCAGCAAAGCCAACAGAAGGTCACAGAGACATTTTTCCAGCTTAAGACAACTTAGGAGGTCAACAGGAAAGGTCTGGAACCTCGGGGTGGATAAAGGCCCAGAGTGTGACAGGGGCACCCAATGGTGGGTCTTGGAGCTGATTGCAGTGACAGTGGCAGCTTTGGGAGCTCTCAGAACACAGATGGTAAGGAGGGTGGCACAACCGGTGAGAAACAGATTACAAGGGACCTTTGGGTGGCACTGGGTGATTGGCAACTCTATGGCCATTCACAGTTCTGGGTAGCAGTTCTACAGTGGATAGGAGTGCTGGTGGTCATTCACAAGGGAGTAGGGACCTTGGTCACAGTTCCAAGGCAAAGAGAGGGGTAGTGCTGTGGCTGCAGGAGAATTGGGGACCTGGTCACAGTTCCAGAGTGGTGGCTGTAGGGGAGCAGGAGCCCTTCCTGGGTCAAGCCCAGAGAGCAGATCAAGAAAGCAGTGACCACACCTCTCCCCAGATCGTACCACCTGAAAGCAATGAAAATTTAGAGACTCTCAGACTAGCTCTGAAACAGAGCAAAAAAATAAAAACCCTAAAGCTTCTTCTTCCCCCAGGAGAACAGAACCCAACTTTAATGTCAAGTTTAAAGTCAAGAAGTAGGCTGGAAAAATGAACACACAACAAATAACAACAAAAGAAACAAACAAAATAAAAAACCTTGACTATGGTTCAAGGAAGACCAAGACACAAACTTAAAGAAGACAACAGTGTATTTATATTAAATATCGCAGGTTAAAAAAAATGAGGGACCTTAGAACATGGAATGTCAGGCCAGAACAGAGAATAACACAGCCATAAGGGTCCTTAGAATGAAGAATATCAGAGCAGGGAGGAGCCTCAGAACAGAGAATATTAGGGATGGCTTTAGAGCAGAGTAAGTGTGAGCTGGGAGAGTCCTTAAAGAAGGGAATGTCAGATTTGATAGTGTCCTTAGAACACAAAACATCAGAATTGAGAAAATAGCACAAGAAACATGAGAGCGCCCTTAGAATATGGAATATCAGAGCTCCAGGTGGGATCAAGAGGGTAAGAGAGTGGATTGTAGCCTAGAAAAGACAGTATCGAGCTGAAAGGAGACTTAGAACACACATTAAAGCTGGAAAGTACCTAGATTATAGACTGCCAGGACCAGGAAGGACTTTAGGATAAAGAACAAAGAATCTCAGAGAGGTAAGGGTTTCCACCAAACATGGGGATGTTACAGAATCCCAGAATCCTCAAGCTACAAGGCATGCCATCTAGAAGGCGTCTAGTCCATCTCACACCTGAGGAATCCCTTCTGCAATGCAACTGACCACTGGTCACCCAGTTCCACTTTTAGTGAGGGGCAAACTACTACCCTGAAAGGAAACTCATTCTACTTTTTTATAGCTCTGGTAGTTAGGAAGGTTTCTTGATATCACGTCTATATTTACTGTTATTGAGTCATTTCAGTCATGTCCAACTCTTCGTGAGCCCATTTTGGGGTTTTCTTGGCAGAGACACTGGAGTGGTTTGCCACTTCCTTCTCCAGCTTTTTTTACAGATGAGGAAACTGAGGCAAACAGGGTTAAGTGAACCGCCCACGGTCACGCAGCCAGTGTCTGAGGCCAGATATGAACTCAGGTCTTCCTGACTTCAAGCCTAATGCTCTATCCACTGTGCCACCCAGCTGCCCCAAGCCTAGATTTGCCTCTGTAATTTCTACCATTATCCCTGGATCTACCCTCAACAAAAAAAGTCGAATCCCTTTTCCATTTGACAGCCTTTCAAATACTTGGAGAGAGCTCTCATATCTCCCTCACCTGCAGTTACTTGTTGTCTTGCCCAGATACACCCAGTTCCTTCAACAGATCTTGATGTGGTAAACACCAAAGGAGAGAATGGAACACAGCCAATCTCCCTTCCCTCCCATGGCTTTACTACTACACCTCAAGCTGATGACTCTCAGAGTACAACCTTTAGCCCTGGCCTCACCCGTGAGCTTCCTGCCCGTTGCCTCCACCTGGAGCACATCCAGAACCAATGACCTTTTTCCTTTACCCTATGCTTCTTTATGACCTCAGTACCCCTGTAACCATTCTCCTCTGATAAGAACCTTAGGGTTAGCTCTGCTCCTTCCCTCTTTCCCCTGCTAAGATCCAGTCAGTGACCGGTATTGTGGAGTCCATATCCCTGGTACCTTTCCGATCCCCTCCTCTCTTTCTAGGGCCACTACTGTGGTTTGAACTCTCACCACCACCTGTTTAGTTCATCAGAACAGCCTCCTCACAGGTGTTCCTAGGTGCACTCTTTCTCTCTACCCATCTATCCTTCAGATCTTAGTGAGGATCATTTTGCTTATGCACAGATCTATCTACATCAGTCACCTCCTCAGAAAACTTTTAACGGCTCCTTATTGCTATTAAATCAAATGTAAAGCATCCTCTGTGTCCCAGCAGAATGAAAGCTTCTTCCACCCAACATACTGTCATGTGCTTGAAGACACTTCTAGGCCAAGCACCCCAGTCCCTCCAAATAATTCCTGTACTTCCTAAATATCTCACTCCCCTCATAGCCCTGTTCTAAACTTTCTGGACCTCAAAACCTTCTCTTCTTGCTATCTGCCCTAGACACTTTCCTCAGGACCTGGGACCTCCTCACTCTAGAGCATCCTTCCAACCTTGCTGCCTGCTCACCATGGAATATTCCTCTGCAAGGGTGATTTCCCTGATCTTACTGGCCAGTTCCAGCTGGAGTCTCCTTTTGGTGGAGATGCCTAGACAGGCTCCCTTTTATTCCTCTCCTGGCCTTACTCAGGACTTTCTGGATTTCAAAATGATGACCCTGCCATTTTGCCAAGCCTAGGGCAAGGATTGTTTATTTTGCTTGTAGCATATCCCCAGTGCTTATCACAGAACTGAGCAAGATGTTAATATTTGCTTAAAAACTCTCATGTCCTTCCCTCATGTGGCAAGCTTTGTCAGTGCCAAAAGGCAAAAGTGAACCTCAGCTTCCATTGCTATGTCCAAGGAGGCTCCTGGGGCCGCACTTGGTAAGGGGGCACTCAGACTTTGGCTGGTTTCATTTTATTACTCTGTGAGGCCTCCCATTATGAAATTACTGAACCCATAGGGGTAGTGGGTCAGTAGGGGTGAAGGGCTTAGTATCTACTCTCTGGTTTTATATACAGTACACCTGAAACTGAGAGAGCTGGTTGCCCAATGACTTTGAGGGAATCAGGGGTAGAGGGGGCACTCCCACCATCCCACTGCTCTCAGCTCCACATGGGACACTCTGTTCATTCCATCCCCATCTCTGAACCTCTTTCTTCTTCCTGGTAACTTGAAAGGGTCTGGGACCCATTTACCTTAGTAGCCCCATATAATGCCAAGAATGGGGAAGGCTGTCTGCCAGCCATAGAGGATATGTTGATGATGACTCCTCGTCCCCTGCAGAGTTGGAGAAGAAAACTGAGAATGGCCAAATGAAAGGTAAATGAGTGTCTCAGGGGGAGGGGTGTGTGTGAGATAGGCCAGGAGGTCTGTATGGAGGGGAAGGCAGGCTCTAAAGATGCAGAGAAGGGGATGCCTGGGCCCCTACCTGGCTACCATCTGAGGCAGGATGATCCGGGTCATCTGTGGAGGAAGAAGCAAAGGCTAAATCTACCCAATGATCCACCTTTGGCATACTGCTTGAATTCTCCCCATATCCCTCCCCACTCCCTTCCATCCCCTGCCAACGATGTTTCCTGTCTCTTCTGCCTCAGTCTTACCTGAACCATTGACAGCATGTTACAATTCATCATGTCTGTGAAACTCTGGGAAGACAGAGGACACCTTTTATTTTTCATAGGCCCCAGAGTCTCTCACTTCCCCCAAAAGCAACCTGGCCATGAATTCTCAGGTTGGAGTTGGCTGAGACATTAATGTCTTTCTCAACCTTCAAGGCTCCCCCCGCTTGCGGCCTCCCCCATCAAGGTCCATCTCCTCTAGGAAAATTTCCCTAAGCACTCAAATCCCTCCCCCCCAAGCTTGACCCAAGGCCCAATTAAAACAAATCAAACCACATTTGTAAATACATAGAGGGAAGACAAATACACTTACAGTGGAACAAATTGTCAAAATTTGTAAGGCAACATTTTCTCAACATTGATGATTATTATGGCCACAAAAGCAAGGGGAGCTCACATTTCTCACCTGATTTAAATTTACAAAGCACTTTCTGCCTGTTGGAAAGTTGTGGAGGTGGGGTGGTGAGATAGGAGGGAAGATGGGGCAATGAAGGAAGGGACACATAAAGAGGGCAGGATTAGGGAGGGCATAAGAAGAGATGGAAAAAATAAGAAAATGGAAAAGGGCACGAGTTGGGTGGGGAGGGGGGTTCTGGGGGGAGTAACGTAGCTTCTTCTACCTTGCCTACATTCTTCACATCCATTAGCTTCTGGGGGATTATCTTGGGAGCTACTCCAACGTTGTTCACTGGAAAAAAACATTTCAGTACCACAGAGCAAGGGGATGGAGAGGAATTCTGAGGGCAGGACTGAGAAGGGAAGAGGGAATGGGTGTGTACCTAGAATGCCGATGTCTAGGCCCTCCAAGCCTCTCTCAACTGTCTCATAGATCTCTAAGCCTTCAGTGAAGTCCACCTGGATGACTCTTGTTTCCTTACCATGGAGTCTCTCTGTAGGAAAACTCAGAGAATTCAGAAACAGAAGCTTAATGCTGCTCCTTATTATATAGATGAGGAAAGGCCCAAAGAAGACTTCGGACTGCCTGGCTCAGGCTCACACACATCCCATATCTAGCAGAGCTGTGTCCAACCTGGGTCTTTGGGTTCCAAATCCCATTGTGGAACCTTGAACAGCCTCACTTCTCTCCCATGACCCTCCTTTCTAGTCCGGAGCTCACCAATGTCCTCTGCCTCCCGATGTAACTTGCTGAGATCTCGGCTCACCAGTACAACGTTGAGGCCTCTTCGGGCCAGCTGTATGGAGACAGGAGAATGGGGAGACTGAGTGAGTGGGCACACAGAACCTCCCAAACCTACAGAAGACCCAAGAGGGTCCATCCAAACAAGCAGGTGTACATAGGACAAAGGAGGATGTGGGGAATTCATAGGAACCCCTGAGCAGAAACACTCAGGACAAATATGGATGTACTTATCTGTCTGTCTATGTATCTATCCTGTCCACTTGTCTTTCTATCATCTATCCATCTTTCTGTATGTATGTGTATACATTCACATGTAATATTAATTAGTACATTTACATGTGTTTACACAGGAATCCCCCGCAAACACAATGTCCTGAGGCTCTAGAAAATGATCAGGGCACATAGAGGAAAGCATGCATGGGATAAAACATCTAATGCATGGGACCATATATGTAGAATGCAATGGAACAGACACGTGGGGTCATGTCCAGGTACATTAAAGACAGATTCAGTTGGCTCCAGGCCCCCCTTACCTCATGAGCATAGCTCCTGCCGATTCCACTTGTGGCCCCGGTTACCACTGTGGGGAGACAGACACTGGGAATGAGGAGCTGTGGGTCTCGGGGGGGGGGAGAACCCTCTGGAGGACCCACCCAATGGGAGATCCCAGGAAGGGGCAGGAGAGAGCCTCCTTGTCCACCTGCTCCTTCTGAGTTCTAACTCCATGGCCCCGCAATTGAAAAGGACTTTAAGCTGTCTATACAGTGGAACTCAACTGGGAAATGAGAACTTGTGCAAGGGAAACATGCCAGCAGGGAGCCTGCAGCCCTAGAGATATTCCTACATGGGAGCACCCATATATGCACTACACAGATCAGAGGATCTCAGATGTAAAGCCTCCCAGCACCCTGGAAATCATTTAGTGCAGCTGCCCCCAGTGTTACAAAACAACAACAACAACCCGAGTCTCAAAAAGATTAAACGTCCTCCTGGGGATTACCCATGTCACAGAATCAGATTCAAGGTTCAGAAGACCTTGGAGCCGTCTGGTCAGACACTTATTTTACAAACAAGGGAAGTGAAGCCCAGAGCGGAAGTGACTTGCCCAGGGGGCTCATATGGGGTCTAAAGCAGCTTCACCGAATTTTGAATCCAGGTCCTGGAGGCCTCCATCCATGGTGCACAGACTCTTCTGAGGAAGCAGGTGACAGGCCTCCTATTATCAGAGCCCTTGCCCCTTCCCTCCCCCTTGGGCCCCTTTTCCTCCCTCCTTCTCCCACACACCTGCCCAGGCCCCTTGCTTCCTGAGAGAAATGCCAAGGCCCAGGCCAACCTGGGGTAGCCCATAGACCAGCAGGGCATGGCCCAGCCACCAGGCTACCCGCAGAAGCCACCAGACTGCAGCCACGGTGCCTAGCATTTGGAAGGCTGAGCCACCTAGTTCCATCCACGACCCCATCCTGGACAGGACAACCTGGAGGTTCGGCAGGACAGCCTTGGTGAGGGGCAGGCTCAGCTCTACAGAATCCAGAGGATGAAAGGCCACAGGATCACCCAGGTCCTAAGGTCTGAGGGGGGAGGGATCACCTGGCACTGAAGGACTGGTGGAAGGCCCACGTGGAATGGTAGGGGGCAGGGCCGGCCAGCCTAGGACCAGTGGTACAGCGACCCTGGCTTGCAGTAAGAAGCCACAGCGCTACCTGGTGACCAGCACTGGTTGTGCAGGGTGGGCGAGGAGAACGCCCAAGCGCAGAGACGATTATTGGGACTGCGCCCTGTGCCCCCTCCTCCCACTGTATCCTCTCCATCCCGAGGACACAGCACCATCTCTTTCCAAAGACACTTTATGGAAACCTGGTGAGGCAGCTCCCATCCCCCAGGCCCTTCCCATTCTCCAACTCAGTGGAGTGCCCCTGAAACCGGGATCCAGGAGCACTGGGCCGGCCTCCTACCAACCCTCCCCAGAGAAGCCAGCAAGGGACACTAGACCTTGGGAACCACAGTGGGGGTGGGACACAAGTGAGGAGGGCTGCTCCTCCACTATGCCCGGGGGCTGGGGCCTGGCTCAGCAGGAGATTGGATGTCAGGCAGCAGGCGGCAGCTGGCTACAATGTCCAGGCGCTCGGCCAGGGCTCAGAGGTCGCTGCAGGCCAGGCGGATGCTGGGGGCCGCCGCCAAGCCCACCTCCTGCGCGGCGGCCAGACGGGCTGCCAGGCCGGCTACATCGAGGCCAGCTCGCCGGTACACACAACGCACCGCGGCGCTCACGTCGTGGCCCAGGTGAGCCTGGCTCTCAGCCAGCCGGTGTTGCAGCGGTGAGGCCCGGCCCGAGGCAGGGAGCGCGGCCGCTGCGGGAGCCTCCTCTTCTGCCCACTCTGGGCACCGAACAACCACGAGCGGGGGCAGATCCGCATGGGCCACCAGGGTCGCGGGCTCCTCCTCAGAGTCAGTCTCAGATGCTTCCCCGGCTACGAGCAGCCCAGCTACGGCTCCTCTTCTGACGAAGATGCCGCCGAGTCCGTCTCGATCGCCTCCCCACGCACCATAGTCTCGGGTCGCCGACCTCGCAATCCTCCGACGGCCCGAGAAACCATAGCTTCTCAGGCCCAGGAGCTTTTGGGGGAGAGGTACCAGGGTGCTTTATTCTGGGGACCAAGGCGGGGACAATGGGAGAGGAGGAGGCGGGTGTGATCCATCGGGAGAAAGAAGGGAAGCAGTTGGGCAGGGACCCCACTAGCGCAGAGACCCGGGCTGCACTGAATGGAGCGTGGGATAGTCTCTAGCGGGGAGAGGTGGAAGGCGCTCACGCAAGCACAAGGGCATTATGTGAAGGCGGAGGATGTAAGGTTGGAAAACGCTCCCTGAAGGCTTGTGGGGATCCCTCCTGGGAGGGGTGCCAGGAGAGCCAGGAACCAAAAGCGGAAAGGAGTTCGACGGAGGGTGACAAGACACTGAGGGGCAGTAGGGCGCTATGGAAGGGGATTTAGAACTTCGAGGAGTTTTGGGAGTTGGGGTGAGGGTGGACTAATTATTCCAAAATGTGACCATGAGAGAGACGGCGTGGTGGGGAGCAGGGAGAGGAGGGGGCCCCTAACGGAAGCAGACTGCTACATAACATGGACCATAAGGAATGGTGGGGGAGGTGTGGAAGAGAGGGAAGAAGGAAAAACGGGGGAGTAAGCAGTGGAAAAGGGAAATGTCATGGGGGAGAGAGGGAGAGAACCAGAGATTGAGGGTGGTTATGGGGAGGGTGGGTCAGAAGGAAGAGAAGAATCAAAGAATGTTGATAATAAAAAGGGGGAGAATGAGGCAGAGGGGAACGTCATAGGGGAGGAGGAAAATCGAGGAGATGAGTGATTATGGGGAGGGAAGAATTGAGGGAGGGGGAGGCACGATGGGGGAGATTCGGGGAGGGAGCGTCATAGGTGGGAGAGAATCGGGGAGGGGGCATCATAAATGGGGGAGAATCGGGTAGGGGTGTCACAAAGGAGGGGGATAATCGGGTAGGGGGTGAATCAGGGAGGTGACATCACGGGAAGGAGAGAATCCGGGACGGGGCGTAAGGTTGACGGTTGAAACCAGAGGAGATGCAAAAAGGAGACAAGGCTTGGGGGGTTGCCTGGGTGTCCTTGGGCTTTCCAGGGAAGTGTGAGAAGAGAGGAAGGGCAACGATAAGGGACTGGAGGGGGGAAGAAAGCCGTGGAACAGCTACTCTCGGGGGCGCGTTTGAACAGGGCAGAGCCTGAGGACTAGCGCGGGGCGGCTCGGAAGGGTCTCTGTCGATCTTTCAGCCCTCCCAACATCCCCGTGTGAGGCCTTGTAGAAGGCGGGCAAACTCTGTCCCACCATCCGGGTTTGAATCCTGGGCAGCCTTGCGCCAGCCCCTGCACCTGGAAAAAGGGGAAGGTGAACCAGGTGAGCCTAAAGGCCCTGAAGCCAGCTCTGCCTCCTCTCTCGTCTTGTGGCAGCTCCTTCAGAGAAGGGAGGGCTTAATTCTCTGTGTGCGCCCAGGGTTTGATGCAGGGCCGGCACGCACATGCACACACTTATACACCCACATGCACATAAACACACGTGTGCACGGAAGAGATGCTGCCGATGGATGGCTCAGTTTTGCCTCCACCTCTTCAGCTTCCACGCTGACCTCCCCATTCTTCCTTTTCTCCTGGGCTTCTGCTTGCCCTGCACCTATCCTCATGTCCTGTCCCTGAGTCCCTTCCCCCTCACTGCCACTCCATTCCTCGCTTCCACTTTGGGCATTCCCTGCTAAGGGGCAGCCAGACATAGGCACGGATGAGCCAGACTGTGAAGGCAGTGGGCTGGGGGTCACCACGGGGCCGGGCCCCTCCACCCCATGCACTCCAGGCTTCTCTGGCTCCTCCACAGCCCAGGTCTCGGCACTGACCTCAGCCGTGTTAGTACATTGGAATGGGTGCCTGGGGAGGGTTTCCTGGGAAGAAGGAGCCTGGCTTCTCCCCTCTGGCTCCCTGGTAGAACACTGGGGGCCCTGGAGTAGAGCCTGAGGTGGGGGGGGGGTCAACTGTCCTGGGAGGTGAGAGTCTTGGTGGCTTCTCAGGTACCTCCCTGCCCTTTCTGGAACTTGTCTCAGGTCCTTCAACTCCAGGGTTGGGATGCAGCTTTGGGAGCGTCCTTTTCCATTTGCAATCCAAAATCACTCATCTGTAATTTCTCCCTATTTTGGGGGGAAGGGGAGGTGCCCAGATTTGAGGGCCGTGGCTAAGCCCCCTTTTCCCCCCACCATCCTCTCCTAGGGTCAGAGGACCAGCTTGACAGTCCTTGAGGGAATTGGCTTCCATGTGACCTAGGGTCTGGCTGAGAGGTGAGAGCCAGGGCTCCATCCTCCAGGAGACTTGGGGTAGGAGTTCCCTGTCCCATGTGCTCAGACCCTTCTACAGGGGGAGGCCCCCAGGTGGTCATTGCCCCCCCAGCAGGGTACCAGGAGCTGAAATGGTTGATGGTGTTCGGTCTCCTTTCCCCTTCCCCCAGTCCCAGGCCTTCCTGGACCTGGGGTCACCTGCTGCATCTTCCCATTAGATCCCCTCTCCCTGGCTCCCCAGGGCTGGGCCTGGATCCAGGCCTTCTTCATCCTAAAGCCAGAAGCTTGTGTTTCTCCCAGGCTGCCCCGAGGGGCCCTGGTCTTCAGAGAGGAGCTGAACACCATCAAGTTCTTGTTTGGGGACCTGTGGGGGGCAGTGTTCCGGAAGCAGACTGTAACCTCAGGACCAACCTCCAGGTAGGTCAGGATGGAGCAAGCCCCCCCGGGAGTCGGAGGAGGAGGACCCGCATCACTCACTTCCCCTTGTCCTAGCACTCAGTATACCATCCTGGAAAAGACCCTGGGATGGGCAGCTAGGTGGTGCAGTTGATAGAGCACGGCCTCAAGTCAGGAGGACCTGAGTTCAAATCCGGCCTCAGGCCAAACACTTGATACTTACTAGCTCTGTGACCCTGCCCAAGTCACTTAACCCCAATTGGCTTCAAAAAAGGGGGGGCAGCTAGGTGGCACAGTGTATAGAGTCCCACCCTAAGTTCAGGAGGACCTGAGTTCAAATCGACCTCAGACACATAACACTACCTAGCTGTGTGACCCTGGGCAAATCACTTAACCCCATTGCCTATCCTAAAAGAAAAAAAAAAGACCCTGGGCGATCTGAAATTGTATTATAAAGCAACAATCATCAAAACTGTTTGGTACTGGCTAAGAAATAGAATGGTAGATCAGTGGAAAAGTCAGGTATGCAAGACACAGTAGTCAATGATTATAGTAATCTATTATTTGATAAACCCAAAGACCCCAGCTTCTGGGATAAGAACTCACTCTGACAAAAACTGCTGGGAAAATCAGAAAAGAGTATGGCAGAAACTAGGCATAGACCACAATCTCACACCATATACCAAAATAAAGTCAAAATTGCTTCATGATTTAGATATAAAGGCTGATACTATAAACAAACTGGGAGGGCAAGGAATAGTTTACCTATCACATTTATGGAGAACAGAAGAATTCATGACCAAACACAAGATAGAGAACATTACTACATGCAAAATGGATAGCTGACTACATTAAATTGAAAAGGTTTTGCACAAACAAAGCCAATGCAACCAAGATTAGAAGGAAAGTAGAAAATGGGAAAGAATTTTTACAACCAGTATCTCCCATAAGGACCTCATTTCTAAAATATACAGGGAATTAAGTGAAATTTATAAGAATACAAGTCATTCTCCAATTGATACTTGGTCAAAGGAAATGAGCAGGCAGTTCTCAGATGAAGAAATTAAAGCCATCTACAGTCATACGAAAAAATGCTCTAAATCACTACTGATTGGAGAAATGCAAATCACAACAACTCTGAGGTACCACATCACGCCTATCAGATTGGCAGGAAAATTATGAATATTGGAGAAGATGTGGGAAAATTGGAACACTAACACATTGTTGGTGAAGTTGTGAAATGATCCAGCCATTCTGGAGAGCAATTTGGAACTATGCCCAAAGGGCTATAAAAATGTGCATATGCTTTGACCCAGCAATACCACTTCTAGGGCTGTATCCCAAAGAGATCATACAGATGGGAAAAGACCCACACATACAAAAATATTGATAGCAGTTCTTTTTGTGGTGGCAAAGATTGGAAATTGAGAGGATGCCCATCAATTGGGGAATGGCTGAACAAGTTCTGGTATACAAATGTAATGGAATACTCCTGTGCTGTAAGACATGATGAGCAGGCAGACTTCAGAAAAACCTGGAAACACTTCTACGGACTAATATTGAGTGAAGTGAACACAACCGGGAGAACGTACTACACAGTAACAGCCACGGTGTGCTATAGCTAACTTTGATAGACTTAGCCCTTCTCAGCAATGCAAGGATCTAACACTCCCCAAACGCCTCCTGTTGGAAAATGCCACCCACATCCAAAGAAAACTGTGGAGTTTGAATGCAGATTGCAGTGCACTATTTGCTATTTTTTTCTTTTGTTGCATTTTGTTTCCTCTTTCTGGTGGTTCCTCCTCTTGGTTCTAATTCTTCCTTACAATATGACTACTGTGAAAATGTCACTAGAATGTATAAGTAAAGGCTATATTAGATTGTGCACTGTCTTGGGGAGGGAGGGGTGTAGGGAGGGGGACAAAAATGGAAAACTATATGGAAGCAATTGTTGATAAATCCAAAGAAATCAATAAAAAAGAAAGAAAAGACCCTGGGCTTGGAGTCATAAGTCGTGGCTTCAAATGGAGACCTTGGGCAAGTCCCTTTCCTTCTGAGGCTGCAGAGCAGAGAAAGCTCTGGGCCTGGAGTCAGGAAGACCTGAGTTCAAATTCGCCTTCAGCACTTTGGACAAGGCATGTAATCGCTTCCTTAGTTTCCTCATCTGTAAAACGGGAATGAAAACAGCTTCTGCCTTCTGTGGGAGGGGGGCGAGGTTGGGAAGATGGATGAGATATTCGTAAAAGGTGTAGCATAGTGCCTGGCACACAGTAGGGGCTTAATAAATACTTACATCTTCCCTTTCCTTCCCTCTTTCTCACTTTCTCATTTGTAAAATCAGGATACTAATCCCTCCTCTGCCTCAGTCTCACAGGCTGGTTTGTTGTGTGCCAACATGAGATCGCATATTCAGGGCTCCCCTGCCCTTCCCCCAGCACATGCCCAGCCACTGCTGCAGAACCAGGGAAGGGCCCCATGAGCACCCTGGGAGACAGAGTCAGGGCCCCAGAATCCAGCTGCGTGAGAACTAGGCATGTGCCAGAGCCGGCTCCCAGGAATTCACGGAAGCCATTTTGTTAATTTGCCATATGAGTGTCCACACCCAGGAAATCTGAAAATTCTCCATATCAGGCTTCATTTCCTGCTTTGCTGATTGCCTGGATTTAAGAAAGGGACAGAGAAAATGGGAATCATGCAGTTTAAACCTTAGAGGGGCTGGTGTGGACGGTTTTCCCCAGAGAGCCAGTGGAGAGACACTTAGCAGCAACCTCTGGTGAGATCATTAGGGCCCAATTGAAGACGGAGAGATGTCGAGACTTTGAAGTGTGTTCAAAAAGCCTATTCCACCAGCCTAAGAGGGAGCGGGGGCACACGGCCCGAGGCTTTTAGCTGCCTGGTCAGTGTGTTTTGGCAGCCAGGCAATGGATGGCGACCTGCCAGTGGACAAAGAGGCCGACGGGCCGAGGGGAGGGAGGCAGTGGTCACATCCTGCCAATCTTAGTACTGAATCCCAGGAGAGGAGACACCCCAGAAATCATAGGAGCCTGGTCATTTGTTTAAGATTGCACAAGGCCCTCTGCTCTAGGCTGCTGGAAGACATGGGGGCTGTTCGGATCCGCCTGGCACCTGCTTACCCAGCAAGCCTGGGAGCCTTTGGTGTCTACCTTCAGGGTTATCATGGAGCCCTCTCTGATTGGCTGAGGAAGGCCACCTACCACTGGCTACCTCTGGCTGACCGCTATGCCCTCCTGTACTGGCACAACCAAGTTGATCCAAGGTGAGACCCTGAAGGGGAGAGGGATAAGGGACTAGGCAATGGAGTTGAGGGGGCAACAGGACGGAGAAGTCAGAATTCCTCCTTCCTTCATCTGAGCCTCAGTTTCCACCTTGTAAAATAAAGGAATTGGACTAGAAGGTATTTTAGGCCCCCTTTGAGCTCTCACCTTCTTTCCCCCTAAATTTTAAAGGCCCTTCCAAATTTAACACTCTCTGTTCTAAGGCTGCATTCCTGATTTAAACAATCTACCAATCCTCCACCACCAGCTCGATTTATCTCTAAGATGTAGGTAGCAAAAGCTTTGCTGAGGACTCTGCATTTGATTCCAGAGGCCACAATGGGCAGCTATAGGAGGGACAGGGCTTGGCTGCTCAGTGTCTCAGAGGAGAGGGGGTGGAATGGGACCAGGGGAAGGGCTTTGTCTGCTTTTCTGGGGACATTCCTCTCCTTTTCCTCCATCTCTTCTTTTCCTCTGCCTCACTACCTCCTCCCTTGCCTGCTCTTAGGGAGATCTTGGGCATGGTGAACATGGTGGCCCTGGACAATGGGCAACTGGGGCCGCTGCTTCCCGCAGAAACAGTTTGGAGCCTGTAGGATGAATGTGTGACTGATGTCAAGGTGATCTGGGAGAAGGGCGGAGGGGTCTGCCTGGGTCACCAGGGGTTTACAGGCTCCCCTGGCTTTCTGGCCTTGGACAAATTTATGACTCCCTAGGTCTATGACTCAAAGATTCCATGACTATAAGAACGATCTTTGGACTGGTGAGGACAGAACAAAAAGGGCTACGGAGAACTGAAGCCCAGGAGAGATACAAGCAGATGCCTAAGAGAAAACAATTCTCACCTGGAGGCAGATGGCAGACAGCTGTCAGCACCAGGGCAGGGTGTAAGGGGCCAAGGCTGGATGCAGTTATGACAGGACAGAAGAGGTCGGACCCTCACCCCCATGGGGCTGGAGACAGGGCTTAGTGGCTATGCATCTGGACAGGAAGTTGGAGTGAAGGGATCAGAGGAGGCCATCCTTCTTTCTCCTCTGCCTCAACTCCAACTATGTGAGGAGGGAGAGTACCCCAACAACTGAGAGCCAGGAAAGGGGGGAAGAGAGGCATTCTAAAGGCAGGGGTGAGCAAGGAGCACATTCCAGCCACGAGGGCCAGACAGCCTGCATAAAGCATGGAGGTGGAATTCTCATTTCTTTTTTCAAGGGAAAACTTTTTATATTTTTCCCAATTACATGTAATAACAATTTAAACTTTTTTTTAAATTCTGAGTTCCACATTCTCTCCCTCTCTCTTCTCCCTCTTCCTGGGGAAGGCAAACAATTTGATACAGATTATACATGTGTAGTCTTGCGAAACATCGGAATGCTAATTTCAGGGAAAGACTAGTAGTCTGGTCTGGCTGGAATGTAGAGGGTACAAAGAGCAATCATGTGAAATAAATATGGAAAGGTAGCTGGAGTCCAACTAGAGGGCTTTAAATACAACGCTGTGGCAGGAAGAGCAGCTCACTAATGTCTGTTTCTCTCTATTCCTCTACATCTCTTTCTGTCTTCTGACTGTCTATCCATCCACATCTATCTATTTTTCTTTCTATCCTTCCATATCTATCTGTCTTTCTTTCTATCCATCCACATCTATCTGTCTTTCTTTCTATCTATCCACATCTATCTGTCTGTCTGTGTGAATAACTATCTATTCACCTCTTCCTATCTATTATCTATATATTCATCCATCCATCCATCTATTCATCTATCTATCTGTCTATTTCTGTTTGTGTATCTGCTTAATACCTTAAGCAACAGGGAGTTAATGGTTCTTGAGGTGGGCAGTTACATACTCTTGTGAAAGTATTTTGGGGAATGGAAGCTAGAGGGATGGAGAATCAGAAATGTCACTAAGCTGGAGATGACCTAATCTTTTTCTTATTGCTTAGCCAAAGAGGTGAGGTTTCTATTTTAATTACTGCCCTGAATAGCATGTATTTACAGTGTTGTCTTGATGAGGTTGGAAGTTGATAGCCCTGAGGGAGAGCTAATGTGAAACACTGATTTCTCCTGGAGAAATTCTGGGTTGGGGCAGGAGCCACCAAGATTGTAGACAGTCTTGGCAATTACTGATAAGCCTCCTAGATGAATTTGGGGCTCCCTCTAGGCAGAGCCCTACCTCTGAACTACAGGATACAGTTGCAAAATTCTAGCACATAGCAAGAAAGGGGTGGTTTGTGCTCATCTAGGAAGGGAAGCTTTGATCATTAAGGGGCTAGCATAGCTTCAGCAAAAACAAGATGGAGAGAGTCAGGGTGGTGTAGTGTTGGCCCCAGCATTGGCAAGACCTGGATTCAGAGGTTGCCTCTGACCCTCTGGGCAAACCTCTCCTTGCCGCAGGAGACTCTCCAAGTCTGAAAGGTGCCTAAAAGACTGGATAGAATCTGTATTGGGAGTGAGGATTTCCTCACCATAAACTCCCTATAGGAAAGAAATCAGAGGTCTGGACCAACCAACACAGCCCAGAATGGGTCACGGCAGACCCACCTTTTATCCTTTATTGAAAGGTTCCTAAATAGGCAGGTCTAGGGAATGCTGTAGATGGTAGTGGTGGGGGTGTCTCATGGGTTGGGGTCTCAAGCTCTGTGAGGATCAGCTGAAGAACAAGGGAGTCTGGGACTGGCAACGAGAAGACCTAGGGACATGGGAGCTGGCATGTAGGGAAAGAATCAGGCTTCCCCCTGTTGGGCCCCTGAGGACCGAAATGGGAGCTGCAGTTTCAAAGAGGCAGGTTTAGGCTTGATGTCCACCTGGGGAAAGTTCCTGACCATTTGAGTCATTCAGAAGGGGAGTCATGGACTGCTTGCAGAGGTGACGAGCTCCCCTGATGCCTCCTTTGTGGAGAATGTTGGAAAGAAGATTCTCCTTCACTCACATGTGAGTGAGGCTGGCCAAAGTGACCACTGAAGTTCCTTCCAGCTGGGCCAGACAGGGTGTGATTCCCTAAAGTCTTAGATTGCATGAATCTGTGTCTAAAGTTCTCTGGATCTAAGATCCTCTAAGATTCCAAACTGCTAAAATTCATCCAAGTCGAGGTGTCTAAGGCTCCACTGTATGTGGGTTGTGGTACAGGGAGTGTCTGGGAGTGAAGGGAATTGTGAGGAGGAGAGGAATGCTGTCTGCTCCCCCCCCCACGTGCCACTTCCCTGAACTTTTACTCTGGGGATCATATCATGCCACTTCTGCTCTCGCAGGCTCAGACCCGAGCTGCTCTGCTTCAGACCCTGCAGGAATTGCAGCTGAGGACCAGCCCAGCAGCCTGCTCAAGATGTCTGTGAGGTGTGTGCATGTGTATATGTGTTATGTGAATACGTATGTATTAGTTGTGTGTGTGTGTGTGAAGTATGTGACAGGTGTGTATATGTGTGTGAGATATGTGTGTATGTGTGTGAGAGGTGTGTGTATGTGTGTATGTGTTTGTGTGTATGTGTGAGTTGTGTGTGTAAGGTGTATGAGAGGTGTGTGTATATGTGTGTATATGTGTATGAGATGTATGTATGTAAGGTGTGTGTAAGGTGTGTGAGAGACAGATACGTGGAGATGTGTGTGTGCAAGCTGTGTGTATATGTGTCTGTGAGATGAGTATGTGTAAGGTGTGTAAGAGATGTGTGAGGTGTGTGTATATGTATATGTGACATGTGTGTGTAAGATGTGTGGTTCTAGGGAGGAGGAGAGGAGAGTTATCAGTACCCACTCCCATCAGAGAAAGAAGAAGGGATTGGGATAGAGAAGGCTGGAGGAGGGAGGGGAGGCTCTTTCTATTTTTTTCACGTGCATAATTCCAGGATTAGCAAAGTAGATGATTCTGAGAGTCTATAAATCCAAAGATTCCTTGGAGCCAAACTCTTTGATTCTAAGGTGCTAAATGAGAGACGTCCAAGATTTTGTTCTTCTAAGATTGAAGTGTTCTATGAGACTGAAATTTGGGGATTCTATGATTCTAAAATGATATAATTCTAAGAGTCTACATTACACACATATTTTTACAATAACATATAGTATGATAAATATTATAAAACAAAACTTACTTTATAATAAACACAAAGCAGCTAAGATGATGCAGTGCTTAGAGTGCTGAGTAGGCCTGGAGTCAGGAAGACCTGAGTTCAAATCTGGCCTCAAACACGTACTAGTAGCTGTAGGACCCTGCCCTCAAGTCACCCTGTTTCTGTCTGCCTCAGTTTCCTTATATGTAAAATGGGGATAATAAGAGCACCTGGGGCAGCTAGGTGGTGTGGTAGATAGAGCAGTAACTCTGGAGTCTAGAGGATCTGAGTTCAAATCTAACCTCAAACACTTACTAGCTGTGTGACCCTGGGCAAGTCACTTAAGCTTAACTGCCAAAAAAAAAAAAAGAATAAAAATATAATAATAATACCTACCTCCCAGGGTTGCTGTGAGGATCAAATGTGATAGCATATGAATAGCGCCTTAGAAATCTTAAAGTGCCATATAAATGTTAGCTATTATTAACCTTATATCTTATAATTTCAATAATTAAATAATCTCACAATCTAAGATTCTGTAATCCTACCAGTCTAAAATTATATAGCTCTAACACGTAAAATTCTGCAAATGCAAAATTCTATAAAGTTAAAGATTTAAAATGTGAAAATTTTAACATGCTTTGGAGTTAGGGGAGGCAAGGAGGGAAGATCTCCAAGGTGCCCACACCACTCCAAGTGAGGAGATTGCTTGGGGTTGGAGAAAAGGGGGGTCTCACTTCTCCATCTCTATCCTCCAGCTGCTGGAAGATCACACTGATCAGGCCCCTCGCATCAGCCAGGAATTTGGGGCGCAGATGGCACACTGCTGCCTGGGAGTTCTGGCTGAATTCCTGCAGAGGTACAGGGGACAGGGGATGACCCTTGATTCTGGAGGGTGAAATGAGCTGGAGAGGCAAGAAGAAGCCATCTATCTTCAGGGGATTGTCCACCACAGATTAGAGGAAGCATCTCTGCAAAAACAAAAAGGTACAGTCCAGAGATAAGTCAGGTTAAAATGAGGCTAGCTCCTTTTTATTTACCCTTTGTGTGTCTCTCTGAGCTTCAGTCTTGTCTTCTGTAAAATGGGTCTTATAACAATGGTGCTACCTGCTTCTGAGGGCTGTGGTGAGGAAAGGGTTTCTAAGTCTTCAGAGTCTATGAACTGCCTCAGTCCTCAGAGCGCTTTTGCTTCTCTGGGTACACTTTGTTTCCTTTGCAGAATGTAAGCTCCTTCAGAGCAAGAACTGGATTCATTTCTGTCTGTCTCCTCAGCTCCTAGCACTGGGTTACAGTGCTTAGGCAACGCTGGTGGAAGGATTGACTGACATGTAAATACTGTTTCTCCCAAAGCACATGAGCTCCTTGAGGCAGAAACTCTTTGAGTCTTTGGACCTCCCCCCACCCCAGGTTTAGCAGAATACCCTGCCCATGACACAGGTCATCCCTTTTTTTCAACTTAGTCTAGGATTCAATTCAACCCAGCATTGATTAAACTCTTACTATTTCAGTCAGCCAGGCATTTATTGAATGATTGCCCCAGACACCAGACCAGTGGCTGGGAATACAAAGAAAAGAATCAAAAAACCCATACATTTCCCAGTTCTTGCCTTCAGGGAGCTTATTTTCCAATCTGGAAGACAGGAAGCCAATAACGTTGCACATACAAGATGTATGCTAAATAGATGGAAAGTGGTCTCAGAGGGAAGAGGTGGGATGGGGTGGGGAGAGAAGTATATATCAGGTACTGTACCAGGGTCTGGGGTTACAAGGACCAGAAAAAAGGCCCTTCCCACAAGGAGTTTACCTTCTCCTTCAGAGATATAGTATGCAAACTGATGATTTTAAAAAGCATTTGATTGTTTAATTTGAAAGGGGGATGCAATTTCAAAGGAATTTCAGAAGGGAGGGAGACCTAACAAATTCAGAGAGGCGGAGGATCATCAAAGGTCCCAAGTGGGAGATGGCATCTGAATTTAAACATCCAAGAAAGTGCTGACGGACTGTATTCCAGGTATGAGAGACAGTCAATGTAAAGGTAGGAGAAAGAATGGGAACAGCAGGCATGTCAATTTGTCTGGAATAGAGTGCATGAGAGGTAGTGATGTGAAATTAAACAGGAAAAGTAGATTGGAATGTGAAATACCAAGTAAATGAGTTTGTATTTGATTCCTAGAGTGATTAGGGAGTCACGGAAGACGCTTTAGCAGCGGCAGAGTGACAGGGTCGGGATTGTACTTTCGTGAGATCACTTTGGCAGGTTGTAGAGGATGGGTTTGATGAGGGTGGGGCCCAAGCCAAGACCTTCACCCTTTGCCTCAAAGGGAATCTGACTCACAGGCCCCAGACCCTCATCTCCCTTTGAAAGCCTTAGGCTCCCTTTTGTCTATAGGCCCCAGAAAGGCCTTCCTTTATCTCCTTTTGAAAGTCCTAGCCCCACCTTGATTTTGTGCAGATGCCTTTCAAACTTCTGCCTTCCTGTTCCCTCCATTATGGATTCCCATTGTCTATTCAATCCCTCTGACCTCCCCAATTAGAATTCTTACCTAGACCCTTTTCCCAACCCCCTTCTCTGGCCACCCAAAGTCACTTTAGTATTTAAGATCCACCTTGGCCCTCATTCAGATGCTGAGAATCTCATGCTCAAAAGGCTGAGAACCTCTCATGCCCGCTCGTCTTTACGGGCGTCACCCAGCTGAGAATCTCTCCTGCCCCAAAGGCTGAGCCTTTCTCATGCCCGCCTGTCCTTATGGGCGTCACCTGGCCTCTGTGATTTATCACTAATAAACTTTTCCTCTGGCTGAAGATTTGAGTTGAATTCATTCAGCAGGGCCCGGTACCACGGTCTTCGGGTCCCACCACCCCAAAACCCCTAGACCTCTTCAGGTTGTCAAGGGGAGACCAATTTGGAGACCAGGGCAATAGTACTGAAGAGAAGGGTCGGGAGTTTGAATGAGGCTGGTGAGTAGAGTGAAGGGGACAGGTGCTCAGGATACAATGAATCAACAAGACTTGGGAAGAAGTTGGATATGGGACAGCGAAGAGCCCATGAGGACTCTGAGACTATAAACTTCGAACAGGAAAGATGGAGGCACAGATTGTAGAAATGGGAGGTTTAGGAGGAGGGGTAGGTTGGAGAGGAAAGATTGTGGCTTCTATTAGGATTCTCAGCTATGGGACATCCAGATGGAAATGTCCAGTAGACAGTGGTGATGTGAGCCTGGAGCTTGGCAGACAAATGTGGGCCACATATGGGAGTCATCTGGGATGTGGGATGATCACTGAGCCCTTGCAACAAGGTTATTATCTGGGGGGCACTTAGCTAGGGAGAGCAGGGAAGGCGGGAAGCAGGATCAGCCAAGTTATTATCAGGTGGAAGGAGGAGCAGGCAGGAGAAGTGCATCCTGAAAACCTAGAGGAGACAGTATTAAGGGGAGAGGATGATAGGCTGGGTCCAAAGCAGCACAGAGATGCAGGAAGAGTGAGGAAAGTTCATTGGATTTAGCAATAGAGAAATTCCTAGTGGCCCAGAAGAGAGCACTTTCAATCAGGTGGTGAAGATGGAAATCAGATTGCCTGAGGGTGGAGAAGTGAGTGGGAGGTGAGAAAGTGATAAGAGGTGAGAGAATGATAAAACAGGAGGGAGAGTGAAACCTGGAGGGCTTCCTGGAGGAGGTGAGTTCAGAACTTGAGAGGTGGGCTGCAAAGGAGACACCAGACCTGAGCTTCTCCTTCCATCTCTTGACCTTCCACCTTCCAGCAGCGGGTAGAGTGCTTCCATGAGAACCCAAGCGTCCAAGAGCTACTGTGTGACAGTTATATCAGCTGGACAATTACCTTGGTGAGCAGTGGCCCCCCTCTTCGGTAAGCCAGACCCTAGAGAGGATGGGGAGAAGGGCCCCAGCATGACCTAATGTTCTCCCCATGGGGAGTTGGCCCATTCTTTCTTCGGGGAGTCTGTCCCTATCCCAGATGTTCTGAGGTCCTTTCCTTCCTGTCCCCAACTCTATCTCCTCAGAAAGGGCCACAGAAAGGGCCCCTCTACACTTCCCTCTGGAGACATGGAAAGGGACACCCATTGTGGCCTCAAGAAAAAAATCCTTCCCAGAGACAGAGAGACATCCTCCTCAGGGACACAGACTTCAAAAGAGACACCTCCCTACACTATGAGAGTAAGCTCTCCAGAGACAGAGTGACCCTCAGACACACAAAGAGAACTCCAGAGACAAAGAAACTCACTAGAAAGAGTACACAAACATAGAGAGATTCCTCCAAGGACAGAGACACCCTCCCATCAGAGATATGAAGAGACCACTCACAGAGACCAAAGCCATGCCCTCTGCCCACCACTGACATACGGAGAGACCCTCCAAAGACACAGAAACCCCTCCTCCAAATGTGGAGAGGTACACTTCCCTTCCTTCCTGCCTGCCTGCCCACCCAATACGTGCAGGGAGCCGGCTGGGACCCAAGGCCAGCTGGTGATGAGCCCCGGCCTCTCCCCCACAACTCCCTAGCTGACCCTCTGTCCCCGCTGGGGCCCTCAGAGAGCGAGCCTGCTTGGGAGGCAGCTGCAAATGCTCTTGACCGTGTCACCCGCCTCTGTCATCGTCTCCATGCTGACCTGCTCTTTCAAGAACTGTAGGTCAGTGTCAGGAAGCCTCTGGACCCCTCCCAAACTGACTAGAAAATGGGGACCTGAGGGTTGTGACAATGGTTACATCAGGATCACGCCGAGATCTAGCTGAGCCAGAGACTGGACTAAGACAAAGGAAGAAAGGAAAGAAAGGGGAAGGAGCAGAATGGAGGGAGGAGATCGATGTTGACACAGAGGGCCCAGCTTGGGGAGGGGGAACATGAACCTGGGTCTCGGCATAAGCTCCCACAGGCTACCATTGCCTATTGACTGCTATACTCAGGAGTGTGGAGGCCTGTGGCTGTGGCTGGGCCTGCTGCTCCAGGATGGGTGTGACATTGTAGGTGCTTTTGTGCCTAAGTCTGTGACTCCATGTGGAATGGGTGGGCATGAATTAGGTGAGTTTCAGCTTTGGCTACATGTGTGTGCTCAACCCCTCCCACACTCATGAAGACAGTGATGGGCTCTGGGATCCCCCCCATTGAGGCTGGAAAGGGGCAGAATTCCTGGTCCTTCTACCTATGGGTTCAGTGGCCTGGGTGGGACCTTAAGGGAGCTCTGAGTCAGATTAACTCTGATCTCAACTTTCTCTGGACAATTCCAGCCCCATTTCTCCAAAGTGATGTGTCAGAAGTAGCTGACCAGCTCTGAGGCTCTGGATGACATTGTAGGGACCCTGGGAGCTCAGGCCTTGGCCCTCAGAAGAATGCATGACCAGACTTACCAGGTATGAATGGACATGTCCACAGGTGGGAGGGAGGGGATAGTTGGAAAATAGACAGGGAGAAAGGCAGAAAATTGAAGAGGCAAAGGATCACCCCTGTCTCCTGGTGCCTTTGCCCTTCCTCCCTTCTCCTCTTCTTACAAAATTGGGTCTCTGTGTCTAGTATAGCTCAATCACCCCCCAAATCTATCTCTCTCTCTCTCTCTCTCTCTCTCTCTCTCTCTCTCTCTCTCTCTCTCTCTCTCTCTCTCTCTCTCTCTCTCTCTCTCTCCTCTCTCCTCTCCCTCTCCCTCTCTCCCTCCCTCCCTCCCCCATCTCTCTCCCTCCTCTTTCTCCTCCCCTCTTTCTCTCCTTCTCCTCCTCTTACTACTCCTCCTCTTCTTCCTCCTCCCCCTCCTCCTCGTCTTCTTCTTCTTCTTCCTCTTCTCTCACTCTGCCTTTCTGCGCTCCTCTTCCTCCTCTTTTCCTCCTCCTCCTTCTCCTTCTTCTTTTTCTTCTTTTCTTCTTCTTCTCCTTCTCCCTTCCCCTCCCCACCCTCTCCCCCAACATTTCCTCTCTCTCATGCCCTTTTCTGTCTCTGAAATATCTCCCCCTCTCTATCTCCCTTATATCTCTCCCATGTCTGTCACTGAATCTCTCCCCTTACATCTCTTCCTGTTCTCATTTTCCCCATCTCCTTTGTCCTTCTATCTCCCCATCTCTTTCCCTGTAAAGTCCCATCATTTTTTCTCATCTCTATCCCCCTCTGTGCCCCTCCAATTTCCCCCCCATCTTTCTCCTTGCTTCTGCCCTGATAATCTCTCTCCCCTGATCCACATCACTCTGTCTCCCCTTAGTACTCACTCTGATATGTGTCTAGGCCCTGGTGCTGGAGCTGCACCGACAGCCCCTGCTGGAGTATGAGGAGATGTATTACACGGGCCTATTCTGAGTGGGTTTCAGAGCTGGAGGTTCTAGCTCTGGCTTCTGGGCTCTAGAGATAAGAATTCCAGGACTAACTTGGTTGAGGGGGAGGCTGATTCTGGAGCTGGCTATGTGAATAAAGCTCCCAGAACTGTGTTGTCATCATGCCTAGGGTTGTCGATCTGTGGGGTTTCTATAGTTGACTTTTGGGCTGGTGAGGACTACAGAATTTGATGGGCTCTAGCCTGCAGAACTTGGGGGAAATATTGGCTCTAGGTGTGGTTAAGGGAGGGGCTCTGGGATTGAACTAGGGTGAGAATTACGCTGGGGGGTGTAAACACCCCCAAACAATTGGAGAAAGAATGATGGTCCTGGATACGAGTCTCTGGGTTCTAGAGCAGCCTTTGGGAGGGTTCCAAGCCCCGTATCTGGATAGAATGATTGTTCTGGACCTGGGTTGGATGGTGAGGATTCTGAGACCTCAGTGATATCCCCTCATGTCTCCCAAGCAGGAAGCATGTGCCTGCCCTCTTAGATGTGAGGGCTCTCCAGGGTGCAGCAGCTCCTTATGAGTTATTGGCTGTGTCCTGGGGCCTGGAGCAGAGTGGGAAAGGGGCTCCTGCCCTTCCCAGGGACCGAGCTTTTTCTGCTGACATTCCTATCCCTTGGCCACCTTTCTATCTGAGCCTCCCCCTCCCTCTTGCCGAACTCACTAGGCCTGATCTTGCCTGCCTGCCCAGCCACTGCCCTCGGCCCCCAGCTCGGCCTCGTGCCCAGCCCTGAGTGCACCTGGGACTCCTACAACCTGCCCTGTGATGCTGCTGTCCCAACCTGGAAGCCTATGTCTTCTCCCTTTCCCCCAACATCTGCTGCTGAGAAAGATTCTGACCCCAAGGATGGATTCTGTCCCTGGGTTTCAAACCAGGTCATAGAGTAAGGGATGTCAGAGCTGGGAGAGTCCTCAGAACACGATGTCATAGCTGGAAGAACTCTAGGAAAGTGAAATATTGGAGCTGGAAGGGCCTTTAGAACATAGATCATTAGAACTGGGAGAACTTTTAGAACACCAAATGTCAGAATTGGGAGGAACCTCAGAACAGAGAAGGTCAGTGCTGGGAGGCACCTCAAAACATAGAAAGTGAAGAATGAAAAGGAATTTAGAACCTAGATCAATAATCAATGAATAAACATTTATTAAGCACCTACTAAGTGCCAGGCACTACACTAAGAGCATGGACTTATCATGGTCGGAAGATACATCAGGTCATGGAGTTTTATTTCCTCATATTAGAGACGGGACAACTGAGGCTCAAGAGTGAGGAAAGGGACTTCTCCCTAGGTCACACAGCAAGCCAGTGGCAGAGCTGGGAGCCAGGGCTTCTCCGGAGTTAGGGTAGGTCCCATAGAAGTAATGGAGGCTGTGCCTTGCTCTGCCCAGTCTCCATCTCTCTTCCCTCTAAATGTCTTCTTGCAGTGGCTGCTCATGTAATAAGGAATGTATGATGATAAAATAAATATGTTTCTATTTAACGAGCAACTGAGGCTGAGTTCTGTTTTGGAAGGTGGGGGTGGATGGCAAGTGGGGAGGCACCAAGCAGGCCCCTGAGGCAAGGTCGGGGCACCAAGCTCTCTCTCCCACATCGAGCTGGGCCAGAAGTAAGGGGTGTGAACCCCATGGTGGCTAGGGTCCCCTAGCAGGAATCTCCCTGCAAAAGGGTGAAGGCTTGGCCTTCCCTTCCAAGGACTCCCAGTCTGAGCAGGAAACATGGCCCTATGCCTTAACACTGGTTGCTTTAGGTCCCCCCCCATAGGACGCTCCTATACCAGGAGAAGGGAACAGTCTAGGGAAGAGGAAATGAAGTGGTTCCCCTCTTACTCCTCTCCTTCCCTCAAAGGTTTCAGATATGTAGGAGCTTACAGGATAAGACTGAGAACTGAAAGGGATCTCAGAGGCCAGATAGTGAACTCCATTTTACAGATAAAGAAAACCAGTTCCGAGGAGGGTAGGGAGTTGTCCAAGGTCACAAAGTCAATGAGTGTTAGAAGCAGGATTTGAACTCGGTGCTCGTGAAAAGGGGCGTCTGGTCTCATCTGAACTCCTCACATACCCTGCCACACCTGAGTTGCCACACTGGCTGCTGCCCAGAAGGCTTTCAGGGCCAATCTCCACCATCCTGGGAGGGTTCAGGGAGTCCTACAGCCGATGGAGGGAAGGCAGGGTCTTCTCCAATCTCTTCTTCCCAGTCTCTAATCTTGGGTAAGTGGGTAAGCTCCCTTGGCCCCAGAGCTAGGAGTGGGAAGTTGGGCCCTGCCCCTCCTCTGCCTCACTATGAGACCCTGGCCTAGGTCACACTCCTTCCCTTGCTCTCAGTTTCCCCATCTCGCTAGAGGATTTGGCCAAGGCGACCTTTATGGTCCCTTTCTGCCCTGACATCTGGGATTTGGTGACTCTCTGCTGTGTCCGGAGAGGCCCTGGGAAGGAGACAGGAAGTTGATTTCTTTCCTTGTTTTTCTTCCTCAAGGGGAAGGGGAAGGGAGATAGCTAAAGGCAGCCAAGAGGGAGGGCCGAATTCTGCCCTCTGGGAGCCACCCCTCCCAGCTTCCAGCTAGAGGTGTTCAGAGGGGGTTGAGGGGAGGGAGCTGTAGTGGGGAGGGAAGTGCAGGGGGGAGGGGTACATGGAAAGAGGACTGTGACTTGCATGGGGGGATGGCGGGAGGAGAATGCTCTCTGCTTGTTCTAAGGGAGAGAGCCTTGAGACCTTTCCTTCCTCTGCCCTTCCCTGGGTGGGTTTGCTGAGTGGATTTGGCCAAATGCATTCCCATCTACGATCCTTGGCTTCCATGCCATTGGAAAAATGAAAGTGGCATGTGTGGAGGGCAATGGCCCAGCTTGAACCCAACACTCAGAATGTCAGACCTAAGGAAGAGTATAAGGGGACTGGTCCCAGGGGCTGGCAAGGAATTTGGGAGATTCATCAAAATCCATCCCCTCCCACCTAATTTTATAGAAGGGAAAATCAGACTAGGAACAGGAAGTCACTTGGCCAGGGTTACAGAGCAAATAAGGGAAGAAGGTGGAGATGGGAACCAGAGCTCCTGGGGCCCGTAAATTATCACGGTGTATTGACTCCCCTCCACCCCAGCCTGGAGTCTGTGACAACTTCTAAGAGTGGGGAGCGGCGAAGGAGGGAGGAGGAGAAGGAGGAGGAGGAGGAGGCCTCCTGCATCTCCCCCATCACCCCTGCCCTTTCTGCTCTCTGGGATCCCTTCAGTATCTGGAGGGCTGCCCACGGACAACAGAGGTCAGACTACTTCTCCTGGGCCCCACTCAGCACACCTGCCAGTGATGACGAGTGTAAGTGGGGTTCAGACCCAGGACTCCCAGCGCGACTGTGGGCTGAGGTGTCACCAGGATGGCTGTGAGTGTGCTTGGCCATGCAAGTATTCATAAGTCAGAGAGCTGGCTAAAGAGAGAACTCTTTATTATAACAAGTTACAACTACAGCTTCTCAGGGCTGATGTTTCTCCTCAAAGGGACCCTAGAAAGCAGAACAGAGGGATGAGCCAAGCAGAGGAAACCCCTCTGTTTGCCCCCCTCTTCCCACCAGCAGCAGTCCGTGCCCATCCCCCAACAAAGGCCTCCAATTGAGTCCCCACCTCCTTCCCACAACTTCTTCAGGATATTCTGGATGCTCTGAACCAAGAGTTGAAGAACTTTAGAATCGGAGTGCCGAATTTGAAGTTCGAGGTCAGGGGCCACAGCAACAAGCTCTGAGGGAAGGAGGGAGCACAGTGGTCAGGAGGCAGCCTGGCCTCAGCCTGGCTCCCAGGCCCAGAGCACTGGGGCCTGGGGCACTCCCCCATCAGGGCCTCTTCAGACAACTCCAGAAGAAACAGAGCCCAGCAGATGACTGCTGACTTAGGAACATTAGCCATGGAGCACAGTTGTATTTACCTTAATAAGTATTTCCCAATTACATTTTAATCTGGTTTGGGCAACACTTTCTTGTTTTCATTGCAGGAGTTTTGATATCTCTAGAGTACATGATCTCTAAGGCCCTCCCAGCTCTGACATTCCCTGTTCTAAGGGCCCTCCCAGCTCTGACATTCCATATTCAAAGTCCCTCCCAGCTCTTGCATTCTCTGTTCTAAGGTCTCTGATACTTCTGATATTCTCTATTCTCAGGTGTTCCTTTCAGCTCTGATAGTCCACGATTCTTCCACATGAATGCTATATATTATACTGCCAGTGACCCAGTAAGCATTTATTAAGACGTTACTATGTGCCACGTCTTGCGCTAAGTGCTGGAAACACAAATACAAGCAGAAACAAAGAAAGTCCCTGCCCTCAAGAAGCTTCGCTTCTAATGGAGTGCTAAAAAGAAGCTGAAAAACGGGAAGAGAAAAGGCAGGGGAAGTTCCTATGCAGATGAGTGCAGTGCAGCCTGGATAGAGCTGAAAACAGCTGTTGCCTGGGTCTTCCCCTTAAAATGGATGTTCTGGAAGGAACCAATCAATCAGAAGGTGAAGCCTCACGGGGCAGAGAATGCTGAGGATGAGGCAGCTGGTAATGCAGTGGATAGAGTGCTGGGCTTGGAGTTAGAAAGACCTGAATTTAGGGCAGCTAGGTGGCACAGTGAATAGAACATCGACACTGAGTTCAAATGTGACTCCAGACCTTACTAGTTTTGTGACCCTGAGCAAGTCACTTAACACCAATTTCCTTTAAAAAAAAAATAAGCTCACCTCTGTCTCTGCTTCCTTGGGCAAACTCTAGACCAAGTGATAAATGCCTTGGCAGTCACTTCATCGCCCTAATATTAGATGGAACAGTGGCAACTCACCTATCCAGAGTCTATTTATCTAATGTCCTAATCTCTAAGAAGATAGCATTCAGGAACGAACCTTAGTGTTGCCCTTTCTATTTCAGTCTTTTGCTGCCCTCACTTAATTCCATCAGTCACCCTGCCCTTCTCTAGTTAACTCCATGTACCCTTCTCATCTTTTTTAAAAAACTGAATTAAATATATTTCCTCTCCTTCCCACTTTTCCTGTTTAAAAAGGAAGGGAAAAAACCCCTTGCAATAAGCATGCCTAATCAATTTAAGAAAAATCCCACACTGGCCATGTCCTAAACCTTAGGTCTTGGTATGCACCCTGAGTTCATCACCTTCTGGGGGTCCAGGGGATGTGGTCCATGCATCTTCTACTCTTCTTTGGACTTAGAGAACCAGAGCGCCAAGGTTGTAAGAATTTTGTGTTGAATAAGAGCCAATAGGTTTAGAGAACCCGGTGGGTTCTCCTTGAAGAAGATGAAGAAGCTTTCATGCACATGCACACATTTTGGAGCTAGGGTGTTTCTTTTTGGGGGTCTTGTCATATTCTTGATTCTGTTCTGGACCAACGACTTCGAGAGAACAGCCTATCAAATAACTAAGGCCCAGTGACGTCAATTCAGAAGGACAGAGTTCTTGTGAGCTGACTTGGAGCCACCAAGTTCCACATACCTGCATTCTAGGCTGTTGATAAGAGCCCTAAACATCAAAGTTACCCACAGTGGGTTTTAGGTAACCACAACCTGCATCATTGAATTTTATAGTACTGTGTGGGTTCCTGACAACCGACTTCTAGAGAGTCATTTGCCCTATAACTGAAGACCCCCCATCAAAAAAAGACAAGGTCTTACGCATTGGTCAGATGGGCTGTAGATAAGTGAGTTCCCGTTGACCCATCTAGCATTATGACAACTGGCACTTGGGAATGGGTTCCAATCTGTAAGTCTGGTGGGAGGCATTTCCTTCAAGATCTCAAGACTCAGTATCAGACCCAGGGAGGAGGGGGCTTGCTCTGATGACTTTCTCAGAACATCTGAGCCCTCCACAAGCTATGTGGCTGAGAAGCTAAGGGGCCAATGGCCCAGCATTGACACTGACAGGCTGTGGCACCCTCTCAGTGCCCCAGACAACTCAACAACTCTAGATTGCAGACAAGCTGTATTGGGAGAGGGAGTGTCCTCACCAGGAGTTCCCTACCTCCTATGAAATCACAGGTCCAGGAGCTCATCCTCTCCAAAAGGAGGACTCAGAGCTGTGAGGGACTATGGAGATCACCTGATCACAGCCACTCTCAGTTCACAAGTGGAAAAAAACTGAATTCCAGAGATTTAGGTCTTAGAATCACAGATTTAGAGCTGGAAGGGAGGTCACTGAGACATCCACCTAATTTTACAGATGAGGGAACTGAGTCTCAGAGATATTCAGTGCCTTCCTCAAGCCCTCACAGGCAGGACTGGAATTTCCTAATCCAGTATTCTTTCCTGTGTACCAGACAAACCCTGGGCAAGGTGACTGATGAGGGTCCAGTACATGGCAAGGCTAGTATTTCAGTCCAGCTCTTTTGAATCCAAATCCAATGATCTTTCCATGACACTATAACTGGGGCAGACATCTGACTTCATTCATGCCTCCCATTCTTTCCACAACCCCATTGCTCTTGCTCAAAAAACCCCATTATCCCCCTTCACTCCAATGCCCACAC